AGTATTCTACATGAAATTAATTTCTTCACAAATCCTACCTTATCACCAAATTGGGATGGTTTTTATCACCAAGAAAAATCCTTTATTAAATTCCAAGTTTAAAAGCATGAATTATCACTTAAGGATAAAATTCAATCCAACGTCATCATCGGCCAATACTCCTTCAATTAAGTTTTGGCCATTTACAATTTCCTTTTCGTTTTTTTTTCTTTTTTTATTAAGGTTATCTCTTTTTTTTTTTTTTAAATAACTAAACAGATAAAATATGATAAAAATATTTAAAGATAAATGAAATTAAAATTAAAGATAAACCATAATAAATTTTTTTAAAAATATATAAAAAAAGACTAAAAATAAATAAATAAATAAATAAATAAGCAAGATAAATAAGATATATATACATGTGGATAAATAATGGTACAATCATAAAATAATAAAAACAAAAAAATGTAAAAATTAAAATAAAAAAATTAAAATTTTGGATAATTGGGCTTAGATCAGGTCTGAGCCCAATTGTTTTGGTTTCAATTGGTTTGGGCCTCAGACCGGATAGGGTGTCTAGAGCACATCCAATGCAACCATAGAAAAGTTTGTTGCTAGAATTGAAATGAATATGATTCAAGAGAAGGAAGCATGGTGGATTGGTTTTGAAGCTATAACACGTGCATAAACAAAGCCTTATTCATGTCTTACCAAAAGGAAGAAATAGGGAAAGTGCTTTATGTTGGAAACTTTTTAACAACTAAAATCAAAGGCAACGGGACTATAGATTTAGAATTTACTTTCAGTAAAGTTTTAACTCTTACAAATATATTGTATGTATCCAACATTAGAAAGAATCTTGGGTCTACTAGCATGCTAAATAAATTTGTTTTGAAGTTAGCATATGATGGCAAGAAATTTGTATTCTCAAAAGGTGGCACATTTGTGGGAAAATGATTATGCCAATGATGAAATGTTGAAGCTTAGTGTATCCTAAATTACTTTTAATTATAATAAGAATAATGATTCTAGTTATATGGTTGAGATTATTTATTTATGACATTTTAGATTAGGACATGTACATTATAAAAGAATGTTAGAAATGTCTAAAACTAAGTTGGTACCATTTGTGAAAATACATAGTGAAAAATGTCATACATGCCTGCTTACCAAAATAACTAGAATTTCATTTCCTAATGTAGAAAGGAGTACTAAGTTACTAGAATTAATTCATATTAATGTATGTGAACTGCATGGTACTCTATCTATAAGAGGAAATAAATATTTTATCATTTTCATAGATGATTTCTCAAGATTTTGTTATGCAAACTTAATGCATATAGAAGATGAACCATTATATATATTCAAAATCTATAAAAATGAGGTTGAATTACATTGTAGTGCTAAGATTAAAGTCTTGAAAACTGATAGAGAAGGTCAATACTATGATCCAAGTTACTTTGAATTAATCGGCATGATTCACCAAGTGATTGTGCCATATTGTCCATAATCTAATGGTGTGGCTAAACGAAAGACTAGGGTACTAACCAAAATGGTAAATGCCATGTTGTGCTACTATGGTTTAAGATAAGGTTTTGGGGGAGAGGTATTGCTAACAGCATGTCATATACAAAATAGAACTCTAAATAAAAGGAATAGGGCTAACCCATATGAATTATGGAAGAAAAGAAAACCAAATTTAAGCTATTTTAAAGTTTAGGGTCGTAAAGCAATTATAAAGGTTCCCAAACCTAAAAGAAATAAATTATGAGAAAAGGGAATATAGTGTATTTTTATTGGTTATGCGCAAAATAGCAAAGCATATAGGTTCATGGTAATGGAACCTAATGATTTAATACCAATTATTACGGTAATAGAATCAAAAGATACTATGTTTGACTATTTTACTTTTAAAATAAAAGATAAATCTAATAACATTGCTCAAGATAGTTCAAATTAAGTATTAAATTCATCCATAATTGAAGAATAAGAAAACCATATGCCTAGAATAAGTAAAAAAGCAAAGAAAGCTAAAGCCTATGGCTTGGATTTCTATATGTTTCTAGTTGAAGGAACAAAAGAAATACTTAATAGCTATATTGAATACTACTTCAATATAGAAGCGAATCCTAGAACATTTAACAAGTCTATGAAATCTCAAGATGTAGCTTTTTGAAAAAAAGCTATAAATGATGAAATGGATTCTATTATGGGTAGCAATACTTGGATTCTAATGGACTTAACTTCATGATGCAAACCAATTGGTTGCAAATGGATTTTGAAAAAGAAAGTGAAAGTGGATGGTACTATAGAAAAATTCAAAGCTAGGTTGGTTACTAAAAGGATTATACAAAGGCATAGAATAGACTATTTTGATACCTATGTACTTGTAGCAAGAATAGCTATAATCAGAATGCTTATTGTATTAGCCTTAATCTGCAAGTTAGAAATTCACCAAATGGATGCCAATACAGTATTTTTAAGTGGTGAATTGGATGAGAAAGTGTACATGGAATAACAGAAATGGTCTATTTTCTGAGACAAGAAAATAAAGTGTGTAAATTTATGAAGTCATTATATGTGCTTAAATAAGCACCTAAACAATTGCATCAAAAGTTTGATGAGGTTGTCCCAGCTAAAGGTTTTAAGATACATGAATAAGATAAATGTGTTCATAGTAAGTTTGAAAATGGCAAAAGTTTCATCATATGTCTATATGTTGATGACATGTTGATCTTTGGTACAAACTTAGAACAAGTTGAAAATACCAACAGATTCTTGTCAAACAATTTTGCCATGAAAGATACGAGTGTAGTAGATGTGATTTTGGGAATAAGGATTATAAAAAAAATAGTTTAGTCCTTATTAAATCAAGTTCCATTGAAAAAATCTTCAAAAAGTTTAATTATTATGGGAATAAGGATTATAAAAAAAATAGTTTAGTCCTTATAAAATCAAGTTCCATTGAAAAATCTTCAAAAAGTTTAATTATTATGATGGTGCAACAATCACTACACCTTATAATTCTAACTTAAAGTTGATTCTAAATAAAGGAATGTCTATTGCACAATTACAATAAGCGAAAATCATAGGTTGTTTGATTTATGCTATGACATGCACTAGACCGGACATAGCTTTTGCAATTGGAAAGCTTAGTAGGTATACAAGTAACTTAAGTAACTTGCATTGGAATTCTATTTCAAAGGTTTTGAAATATCTAAAGAAAACCTTAGATTATGGTCTTGTCTATAGTAGAGAACTTTCGGTTCTAAAAGGTTACTCAGATGCAAGTTGGATAGCAAACATGGAGGATCATTTATCCATAAGTGGATGGATATTAATGTTTGGTGGGAGTGTGGTTTCTTAGGGATCTAAGAAACAAACTTGTATAATGGTTTCTACTGTGGCATCAGTGTTTGTAGCTTTGACTTTAACTTGTAAATAGGTGGTATGATTAAGGAACTTATTGTATAAAGTTCCATTGTGGCCAAAACCAATGTCCCAATATCAATACATTGTGATAGAGGAGCTACGTTATCAAAAGTATATAGCCCGGTCTATAATGGGAAGTCAAGACGCACTAGTTTGAGATAGTTATGTCAAAGAACTTATCAAAGAAAAGGTGATCACCATATACTTTGTCAAGACGAGTAGGAACTTGGCGGATCCCTTGATAAAGGGACTTTCAAAAGAAAAAGTGTCTAAATCTTCCAAAGGGATGGGACTCAAGTCCATTAACTAAAGTCACACATGATGGAACCTCAAATCAACACTTAGGTAGACATTTAGTGTTGAGTTTTAATGAGTCCAAGTATATCACCTAAATGTAACTACAAGTACTTAAATTAAAACTACCATCCCAACGAAAACAAGTACCCATAACTCATAAATTAAGAGTTGAAATGCTTTTATATAGTGGCATTTCTGATGGAGTTCATTTATATGAGTGGAAGTGATGCCGTTTCTAAGAACTAAGGGCTTGGTTCTAAAGCATTCAGGAAAAGATATAAGAGACATGGCCATAAATGTGTCAAGCATTGCTAAACTACTTTTGTTGAGACATGGTTCTAAAGCTTATGTGTGTTTTGGTGCATGACTAATCACATAGAATTGTTGGTTTAAGGACATAGTTCTACCAAACAATTCCTATTAAGCTCAACAACAACATATCACTAAGGGGAAGGTTTTAAATTAGGATTGATACCTACTCTTATGTATAAGATTTTCAAAAATTTTGAAAATAGTAGGGGACTGTTAAAATTGTTTTCAAAATAAGTGAAAGATCAAATGAAAGAATAACTTAATCAAACTATAAAATGATTTAAATAAAATTCCATTATATAAAGAACTTGAGAAAGAAGACTTGTATAAATAGCAGTCGATTGGTATGCTTAGTGGAACCGACTACTATAAGCTGGCCATAAGGAGCAGTGGACTACCAATGCCAAAACAGTTAACAACCACGCACTTCAAATATGTACTAAAGTCTCAGTATATTTTGATTTTAAAATTACAAAAAAGAAGTCAATTCCTAACCCTAGGGCAATTGATTGCTAAGGGTAGAGACAAATGAATGGTTGAAACATGAAGGTCTTCTGTTTTAGGAAAACACAAAAGCAATTAACTACTGTAAGCTGGAATATACTGTTCTCATGGCTGAAATGTTATGTATTTTCATAGAAGCTGATTGCCTTGAAAAAAGTCGATTTCTTTCGAGTCAGTAGCATTATGGAATTTAGGAAAGTCTACTACCTAAAGGTGGAGTCGACTATCCTACTATGACTAACATTTTGGGATTTAAAGAGGTGTCGATTACCTTACAAGGGAATCAACTACCCAAATGAACGAAACATATTGGAACTGGTAATTACAAAAGAGCAATTGATTGCCCAATAGGAGGAGTCAACACCCTACTGCTAATAGTTATATATTTTGGAAATGAAACACATTGTTCATTTCAAATGGCAAATGATCTTTCATCAAGTAATTATTCAATTGAATAATTTCCATAATTATACAGAAGGGTGTGTTTCTAATAAAGTAACATAATTTTTGGATTAAATAATACAAATTAAAGAGACATGTCACTTGAACTAAATTTTTATAAATAGATAAGTGTAGAACACATTTGATATACCAATTCATATCTTCAAAATTATTCTCTCTCTTTCAAATTAGAAACAAATTACTTAGACTTCGTTTGCTATAGAAAACTTAGCGTAAGGCTAATATTTTCGATCCTCTACAAAGGTGTTTAGTTATTAGAATCTCACTAGTGCAAAATGATTTCTAATATGATCTTAATTGTATCTCTTAGACAATTGACTACTCCTGTTGCATCTCTCGTATTGGTCGCGGCAAATAAATCTAAAGGAAATTGACTTGTAAAACATGCCTTGAAGGACTCATCTCTCAAGTTTGGTACTCCATTCTTAAAGTTCACCGAATAGGGATCAACATAAGAAGATACATCAACAATTGTATCAATAACACCCATTATGCAGGTCAAGTTACGAATAATTTTTTTTATTTCAATAAATATTAGAAGATGAAAAATATTACATAAAAATTTGTTGGTTTCTACGGTAGTCAAGCAACAATCAAGGAAGTAGTTGGCCCTTAATTACAAACTAGGACAAAGCCACCTTGCCATAATAATTTGTTGATCTTCTTAGTATTTCGTCTCTGCAATTATATCAGTACTGTACGAGGATTTTCTTGGAGTCCAGATTTGTTGACTCTGCGAAATTTTCCACCGTGTCGTCCTTCTATCGCCTAGAGAAGCATTTGTGGAGAATGAAAACAAAAACAACTAGGGGAGCAAGGATGAATCTAAAAAAAATTATCAAACCTACAAAGCAGAGATATATGAATGATGTTTAGTTCAACTGTTAAAGGAAATAAAGCAGTTAAAATTGCAAGAACTGGAAGGAATTTAACTGGGAATCATACCAAATAGGAAGATCGAAAAAAGATAAATGATAGCCCGCCGAATTTGAGTAGCGGAATCTGCAAAAATTCACAATCAATTGAAATTAAACGGTCAACAGATATCGAAAAATTTAGCAAGCAAAGTTTTCGATGGTGTTCGAAAATTAGACTCAGAGATAAGATAAAGCAAATTAAACCAACCTTCTTCCTTTTTACATTGAAACGCCCTTGATTTATCAGTGGGAAACTGGCAGTAACCACCACGTGCCGTGCAATCCCTACACTCAACTGTCCAATTCAGATCAAACCCCAATTGCAGTATCTGCCGGATTGCTTCATAATTGGAAGGGAAGTTAAGCTTATCATCCGGATGATCTGTCAGGACCATGGAAATGATGTTGCAAGAACTTGGAATATCAGGATAATACAATCTGTAGTCAGTGTAATTAACGTAAATTTGAGACGTATTCCCACTCAAACAGGGTACTCTGCTGCTAGCCATATTATTGATTTCCTCGGAACATCTGACAAAAGTGGCATGGGGGTGAAGATACTCACTATTATACCGTCCATCACCCATCACTTCGTCGATTCCCAGAGACCTATAAGGAAGACTGCAGCTTCCGCTGGCTAAGTTAATGTCAACAAGGCGGATTATGCGTTCATCATAGGAAATTCTCTTCACGTAGTATAATCCTGCATGGAAATTCAGGATGGTTTTATTGTTCTCACAATACAGTTCATAGTCTGGATCACCGCAGTCAGCTGGATCTCCCTTGAGGCGAAAGGGATAGCTGATATTTTTTATATCTCCACATGAAGAAGAACATATTTGTGGAGTTTTTCTTGCTTGGATTGGAAAAATGAATAGGAAGATGAAAAGAGAAAACTTTAAAGCTATTGAGAAAGAAAGCAGTTGTGGGTTTCTCATATCTTCTACTGATTAAGAGTAAGCAAAGGGAAAGCTGGCTGAGGCGGTTGCAACATTTGGAGTGTGGAGGCCTGGAATGCTGAAAGCTTAGTTATATGCAGTTAATTCGGTTGACCTTTCAACACGCCGTGTGTCGATAGCTTGAATTTTCTTTCAAGGAAAAGTCCATGTAGTCAGGCCTTTGACAACAAATTTTTGCTATATCCAAACGCGTACATATCATGTAAGGTCTTTTTCATGGTGTAAAGATGTAAAGAAGTAGTCAAATCTGGGGGACTCCGCTGAATTCTGATTTCATCCTCTGTCCAACTCATCCTCACCGATCACATTATTTGCTTTTTATAAGTAAAAGGATACTGTTCAAATAAATTTGAACTTTAAAAAACAAAGGATAAATATTTATTTTTTATTTCAGGAAATTAAAACTATGAATCATTATTTTACTATACTTACAATAAAAAAAATAAATGAATAAAGTCCAATTTCAAGAATTATTTCAATAGCATTCTAACATGTATTTTACTTCCAAATAATTTTAATAAAGCTTTGTTCTTTTAATAAATTATATCAATTAATCAACAAAGTTTTAACAGAATATTTATATTTTGCAAGGTAAGTTTGTCATTGTAATAAAATAAAAATTCAAAATCGTAAAGAGTTTAGTTATTTTTATTTTTTTTACTGAATTTCAATAGTTTCTTTGAATATTACCAAAACAAACATACTAAGTTGGATTTTGTTACACCTAACTTTGTTTTCTTTTCTCTGTTCGTTATTTTCCTTTGCTCCTTTTAGCTTTTATTTTTACATTTTCTATTTATTTTTCTTCTCCTTTTGTTTTAAATTTTCCGTTTTTCATATTTTTACATTTGCTTGTTGCATATTCTACCACTTCATCCAGTCAATCATTATTATTTTATAGAAATTTATCCAGTAAATAATTAGAAAATAATAGAGTGGTTCAAATTTATCACATTACTACATTAAAAGCTTCATAGTTACCATTCTACCTTTTATTTTGGTCCAATGTTATCAATCAATTTTGTTTTTAGGCACAATCTTTCCATTTAACGCTTAAAAAATGGATAGTAATAGTTAAGACGATGACATGACATTTGTTAAAAAATTTTAAAAAAATAAAATAAAAATTAACGGGTTAGACAATTAAACAAAAAATAGTGACATTTTAAAAAGGAAAAAAGTGAAGAAATTATTTTTCATGTTTTCCTATAAAATATTTTATCTACAAATGTAAGTTTTATTGTTAAAATATAAGAATATTTATAAATTTTTTAGAAATATAACGTACATATTCTGAAAAAAGATATAGGGGGTGATGTTTTCATTTTATAAGAAAAAATCCAATTATTTTATTTTTTTTACATTACAAAAAGAACGAAATAATTGAGATTTTTAACGAAATATTCCTTTTTCATTCTAGTAATAATAAAATTGCATAAAAATAGAGTAGAATAGTAATTATTTGGCACTAAAAGAAGTATAGTGAAAATTTTGGAGCTCCCAAATTAATAGAATGGTAAATTTGACTATTATCACTAAGAAAATATTATTCCTTATAATGAATTTAAGAATAGTACAATTAAATTAGTACTTTTATTATTGTTTTAAAAATACCTTTAAACACTTGTTCTTTTGATCCATGTTTAATTTACACTTTTAAATAAAGGTGACAATAAAAGGAGTTAGGATCATATATAATTCAAGTCATTTGGTTTTGATGTTTTGAGTTATCCGATTTGAATTTTTTTTTTTATCTGTGTTAACTTAAAATAAAATAGAATTGGATTTTGATGGTAAATCTATAGTTATCAATTGTAATTAAATTATTTAAAATCATATTTTTGGCAACTTGTGGCATGTATTCATTTTTTTATTTTTGATATAAAAAATAAAATTTTCAAAATTCTTGAATAGTATAAAATGAAAACAAGTGAATTATTACTATTTTATAATTATTTTATGCAAAAATTAATAATTTGCTCTTGAAAAAAAATAGTAATTATTTTTTATTGATAGATATTTAATTTTTGTTTCATTTCAGTGACTATTGCTGGTGATCCTCCATGATTATTGTTACGAAGACTTGCACAGTCAATCATAATCTAAAAGTCAGAAGCGATGTTAATTAGTTTCTCGAATATTAGAATTTTATTGATCAGAAGAAAAAATATATATCATTTCATTTAATTGTAATAAAAAAATAATTTAATTTGTTTCACTCTTGTGTGAAATGAATTAAATATCAAGATAATGTATCCAAAGTTACATAAAAATGTAAAAGGAAAAAGAGAATTTAAAGTTATTAAATATTAATAGATTCATAGTTTGTATTATATTTATTATTTTTAATTAGATTAATATTTTAAAAAATTAAACTGTAATCATGTTTAAGCTCGTGTTGGGTTATAATTGTAGTTTTGTTTGATTTGTTTATTAATGTAAGAATTAAATAGAGGTAGAGTCTACCCATAATGGGTAACGCGAACATCTCATTAGTGGAAACTGCTTAGAGAGAAGAGTCACAAAAAGGAAGCGAAAACGAGAGACCATTCGAGATAGGCAGAAATGTAATTTTGAGGGAAAATTTTTTGTTTTAGGTGTGAATGATTTAAGTTGTGTAAATGAATAATTTTCATATAATGATTTTATTTAATGATCAGTAATTCAAGTCAAATTTTTGTTTTTGCAAATCAAGTAAGTTTTTCACATTTATTATATATGATCATGTCCATATAGATTATCTTTCATTATTATCAGAGTAGGTTGACTTGAGTTTTAATATGTTTCGTGTGTTCTTATAAAACACGAAAAAAATGTTGATAAGCTCTTGTATGCTTGTGAATATTCATACAAGTTGACACAATTTGTGTGTTCTTAATAAAAATTAATATTGTTGTGATCATTTTTAGACAATTTGAGAAATATCATTATTGTTTATGTCATTTGGAATTTTTTTTTTTTTTTTGTCTTCGAGATAAGGCATCCGAATGCTCAACTTAGGGTATTTGAATGTCCTAAGCAAATTTTTAAAAATTAATGGTTTTTTTTTAACAAAAAGAAAGCATTTGAATGCCCCTCTTTTTTTCTTGAAAATATACTTCAATTTAAAAAAAAAAATTTCTTTTTGAAATTTTTCTGTCCTTAATTAAATTTGAGAGGACATATCACATAAGAATGATTGAGATAAGTGTTAATTATTTTAAGAACTATGTTGACTCATGGATTCATGAATTTTTATCGTATTTATTACAAAAAATCAGACATTTGCTTGAAGACTCTTATCATTATGATGGTAAAAACACAATTTCTAAGTGTAATAAGGCTATTGATGGAATTGATGCAATACCGAATGGGTCCAAATGTTGATATTGATAAGCATATCATCAAGGTTAATAGCATGATCCAAGAATCAATTTGGTGTGATTGCATATGCAGATTAAATATGAAATGTTGAAGGGTACAATTTTAACTCCTAAATAAAAGAATATTTTTCAAGATATATGGATGTTTATGAAGAGCGATCAGAAGTATAAAATATTATTCAAGAATTTGGTGAAGGAACATGTGAGAAATGGGCAAAGAGGAGTCCAACTTGTCTCCATAATGGGAAACATAAAATTCATGAACCTCCATTGATGGGAAATATGAATGCAAAGCTATCAAAAAAAATTTTGAATTCCATCCCTATACTTAAACAAGTCATTCATAAATCACTTAGGGCATAGTTTAATTAACATTTAGTATATATTTTTTATAAACATGTTTATGGATGCAGTATATGCTTTGTAAGATTTGTTTATGCAAAAATCTATATATATGTTGGTAAGCCTATGGTTAGTGGGAGTTCTAAGATAATTTAATTGTGCTATCTTAGAATGATTTATTTTACACAATGAAATAAATTAGTGATAATTAAACACATTAAAAATGAAACTTGATTACAAAACTAGTGACCTTTTGGTTTTTTTTTTTTTTTGTGAATGATTGTCATTATTTATTTGTGACAAAATGAGAAGTGTGCAATGCTAGGCATTGATTAGTATATATGTCTCTCGAATATAGAATTATAGATTAAAATAACTTCTACTTTTGAGAATAGGATTGTTGAATTAAACAAGAGTGAGAAGTTGAATAGGGACAATTATGAGATCTAGATTATGAGAATTCAGCATATACATGAAGAACAATAGGTTTTTATGTTCTAAAAAATGTACTTGATAAGCCCGAGAAATGTAATACATCATAACATTGGACCGAAATACTTTTAAGAGTTGAAAAAAAAAAAAAACTCCACTGCCTGCATTACATTACTTAGTAGTATAGATAATGATATTATACGTAAGTTTCAGTCTTATGAAATAGCTAAAGAAATATGGAGTGCCTTGAAAGCAAAGTTCAGTGTAATTACTGAACTAAGGTAGCTTACTATTAAGTTGGACATCTATAAGAGGTGACCTAATTATAATATAAGGTAACATGCCAGATAGATGTCAAAGATGGTAAGCTAGCTGAATAAGACTGGTCACACTCTAATAGATGAACAATAGTTTCAAGCAATAATCTATTCTTTACCACATAGCTGGATGCAAAAATGTGTACCTAACCCACAATGAGAGTAAAAGGACTCTCAGTGACATTTCCCACCATCTTTAATTGGAGAAAGATCGTATGGAAGCATCTAAGCCTAGTGTGCTAATGTTTATATGTAATCATCTAGTTTAAAAGAAGTTTTGGCTTTAAAAGCAAGCCATATGGTGCGAACAAAGAGAACGCTATTAAGATGCCAAAGAGTGTCCAAACTAGCGAAGAATAAAACCCCAAGGCTTTTTTAAGTAGAATAAATTGAGAGTAAAGTACTTTAACTATGGCAAAATGGGTCATTTTACTCATGAATGTAATGGGTCATTTTACTCATGACTGTAATGAGTCAAAGAAGGTACAAACCTTTAAAGTATATTTACATAATACTGATAGTATTGTCTTTGTTTTTAATACTATTATAATGACTGAATCACATCCCTTATTGATTATAAACTCTAGAGCTACGGGCCATGTAGCA